GTCCCCAGATTGACGTGTACAGCCTTGACCTGAGTATAGGAAGATAATGCGTACGCCCCGAGCTCCCTACCAATACCGCTCTGCTTGTATCCACCAAATGGGATACCGAAATGCGAGTCTTGAGAACTGTTGATCTGTATCGTTGTTAGCGCCTGTCCAAGCACGGAAAATTGAGTCTAGAATCTTGCGGGCATGACTTACCCAAACCATACCCGCCTCGACTGCACCTGCAACACGGTGTCCCCTCATAATATCTTTGGTGAACACAGCCGCTCCTAGACCAAACTCAGTATCGTTCGCCTTCTCGACCGCTTCGTCTTCTGTCTTGAAGCTCTGGATGACCACAAATGGACCGAAGATCTCTTCTCGTACAATCCTCATGTCATTGCTACAATTAGCAAAGACGGCCGGCTCAACGAAGTATCCTTTCTCTGGGATGCCGTCTTGCTTGCCGCCATGGATGAGCTCTGCCCCATCCGATCTCGCTGTATCGACGTAGGATAAGATCTTTTGTTGAGCAGCTTTGCTGATCTGAGGTCCATGGTTGGTGTCAGCATCAAACTGCGACCCGATCTTTGTGTTCTCTTTGATCTGCTTTTTGAAAGCTTCGAGGAACTTGTCGTAGATGGTGTCTTGGACATAGAGACGCGACGTCGCGGTGCAAACTTGGCCACTGTTACCTGGATAACTTGGTCAGTCCCTGTACAGCAAATAGACGTCTGGAAGTTGAGAGGGCGTACCCATGATACCCATGTGCGACCACTTTACAGTCTGGTCGAGATCGCAGTCGTCGAATACCAGAAGAGGACTCTTGCCGCCGGTCTCCAGAGTAATGTTCTTCAGGTTATTGGCAGCAGCTTTCATGATACTCCGGCCAGTAATGGTGCCTAAAAGGTGCGGGTACCAAGTCAGTGCATGTCTCACATGCAGTTCGTACAAGGACATTGCTTACTTCCAGTGAAGGCAATTTTGTCAACGTGTGGGTGCTCAGAAAGCCGCGAACCAGCGCCCTTGCCATAGCCGTTGACGATGTTGACTACACCTGAAGGAAATCCAGCCTCTTTGATTAGACTCGCAAGGAACAGGGCACTGAGAGGTGTCTGCTCTGCCGGCTTAAGCACAACCGTATTACCACAAGCTAGTGCTGGGCCGAGCTTCCAAGCAGCCATCTGAGTCTTTGTCAGCTTCGGAGGTGCTCCAGAAGGCTGGATAGATACGTACCATGACGGGGAAATTCCACGGTATGATCTGCCCACACACGCCAAGAGGCTCATGCTTCGTATACGCCAGCTTTGCGTTGCTTGTCTCAATCGTCTGTCCGTAGACCTTATCCGCCCATCCAGCATAATATCTGAATACCGAGATAGTCTCTGCTACGTCTTCGTCCATAGCTTGCTGGTAGGGCTTGCCATTGTCCCAGGCATCGATGGTAGCAAGGATATGGCTGTTCTTCTCACAAAGGTCACCGAGCTTCCATAGCAGCTGGCCGCGTTCGGCAGCAGACAGATCCCGCCATGCTGACGACTTGAACGCTGTGCGTGCTGCAGTGACTGCAGCATCTATGTCATCTTCGCTACCAGCGGAGACCTTTGCGATAACGAGTTCATCATATGGGTTTATCGTTTCTAGCGTGGAGCCAGATTTGGAAGGAACAAACTCGTTATTGATGAAGAGGCCTACTGAATCTCAACCTCATATGCCTTAGACTTTGAGCTCGCTCACGCCTACCAGTAGGTTGTGTCCATTTCGTGCCATTGGGGGCTGTAAGCTCAATTGATTGTGCCATATTGGTATATGTGGATATGAGAAAATGAGCGTTAAATATTAACGAAAAGCGCATTCAATGATGGGAAACATGTCATATGAACAATGTTGGACATCTAAGGTCTTTCATATCTTGCGCTCATCAAATAGGACTCCATCAAGGCAACCCCGCACTGAGGCTGAGCGGAAGTTTGTCTCATAATTTGATCTCGTCATGACCATTATCCTGATCCGATGAAAAATGCCCATCGCACTTCCTAAAGCAGACAAGACCTAAATCAAGTCGCATTGCTGGCGACATGTAAAGCATGCGGGTCTCGATCGGCACATTTGAACTACGAAGCGCGGCAGCAGACCCAAGTCTCTTGAAAGGCTTTTTTTGGCATCATTCTCGCTGATTTTCCGGAGTATGTACAATCTTTACATTAGCCAGTGATCTATTCAGGTGATAAGATAGCCTCAATAGCTTCGTGATCGGTTTTGCCTGTCAACTTGCCGTCTTCGGTATAGTGCCATGCTAAGGCAAAAGCTCCACTCTCAGGACCTAAACTTCCGATCGACGTCTCGACTATGCCAGCACGCGCGTTAACATTGCCCTCCAAACTTCTTCCTCCGGTATAGTCGTTGTTCGGAGCTTCAAGACGATTCTGCTTGGTGACAGACAGGTTAGCGAGAGATAAGCTTTTACTCCATCAAAGTCACATGTGTACGCTTTGCACGCGAAACCTGGGGCCCCGGACGACGATCAGAGGCCTATCATCCTTCCAAACTGAGGCATAGCTGATCATTTAACATCGCTTATCAAGACGTGACACTATGACGAGTCGTCAGGCGTGCGATCAGTGCATGCTCAAGCCGGAATCAATGCAAGGGTAGTCTGGGGTAAAGAGCCAGCATGAATGACATTCCCTATCTGTGGATATGGACCATCATCATATCTTATCATGGCGAACGCCACATTGTTAGACAAAGATACGCTAAGGATGAACGAGATGAGTTGAAACTGCTCGTGATGGCTATATTCGACCACTTCGTACAGAACCTCAACTTCACACTCTCTCTACTACTCCTCCAAAATCGGAATCCAGTTCTTTCTCATCATGTTATCGTCTACCAACGAGAAAAAGCTCGGAAACCCTATGAGCCCTGTGACTACCCGTGAGGAAGGCATCGTTGAGCACGTTCATTTGGGTTACAATGCCCAGCTTACGAAGAATCGGTCATTGATCTCTGTTCTGGGGATGTGCCTTGCCATCGTTGCAGTTCCGTATGGTATTGGTGGTCCTTTGTGAGAATTGCCCCTACACGAACTGCATATGAGACATAAACTGACTTCGTACACGTACGTTGTAGGATGAGCGCCATCTACGGTGGTGGTCAGCTCTCCATATTCGTCGGTGTCCTCGTCGTACTCTTCTTCAACGGCTGCGTGGCCATCTCACTCGCGGAGCTAGCATCTCGGTATCCGACATCGTCTGGGGTGTATTACTGGTCATATCGGCTATGCGGCGAACGCAAAGGAATACGCAAGATTGTGTCGTTCTTGACGGGCTGGTTCTGGCTCATCGGAAACTGGACGATTGCGCTTTCTGTCAACTTCGGGTTCGCTTCTCTCATCGTTGCGACGGTCTCGGTTCACAACCCAGAGTGGATGGCATCAGAATGGGAACTGCTGCTCATATTCTATGCGCTGTGCGTGTTGGTATTCCTTGTATGCTCGTTCGGAGATAAACTGTTGCCGTACGTGGACTCCGTGGCCGCTGTATGGAACTTTGTTACCATCATGGCACTGCTAGTTGGTTTACTGGTTCGCGCACAGAAAGGCCGTCATTCTGCCTCTTACGCGCTGGGGAACTACGACAGTAGTTTCTCAGGTTGGGGTACAGGCTTTACCTTCTTCATCGGCCTCCTCCCACCTGCGTACGCTTTCTCTGCCATCGGCATGGTAACATCGATGACAGAAGAGTGCGCCCAGCCTGAGGTCGAAGTCTCTCGCGCTATCGCGCTGTGCATACCCTCTGGTGGAATTGCTTCTCTGCTGTTCATCCTACCGTTATGCTTCGCGCTTCCACCACTCGAAGACATCCTCAATGCACCTTATGGCCAAGCGCTACCATACGTCGTATACTCCATCATGGGATTGAAGACTGGAGCCTTGATCTTGATGATCATGATCCTATTCGTTACACTCTTCTGCGCTATCGCAATTACAAACGCTGCTTCCCATTGCACATGGGCGTTCAGTCGCGACAAAGCGCTTCCCCTTGCTAGCCTCTGGACACGCACCTTCGCCGGCCGACCAATATATTCCCTCACGCTCGTCACAGCCGTCGAAATGTTGCTTGGTCTGATTAACCTCGGTTCCAGCAGCGCTTTCACTGCTTTCGCATCCGTAGGCGTCATCGCACTTGCCATTGGGTACCTCATTCCTATCACCATCTCTCTCTTTACCGGTAGAAAGGAAGTCGCACATGCAAAATGGAACGTAGGCAGCCTGCTTGGCACTACAGCGAATATTGGTGCCATCGCATGGATCCTCTTCGAGATGGTGTTGTTTAGTATGCCAACGGTACTTCCTGTTACGGAAGTCTCTATGAACTACGCTAGCGTTGTGTTGGTAGGTTTTGCTTGTTTGAGTGCGCTGTGGTATGCGATTTCTGGTAGGAAAGGTAAGTAATGAAGAGACACCTATACAATGAAGCATGGCCGGATATTCTACTGACAACATTCAGAGTTTAATGGTCCTCCTGATGAGGTTTACAATGTTCATTAAGGCTTAAGATCTCTCACTGTCTTCGCTGTCGGATGATACATTCGGCTTTAGGCTCCTTTGATTGAAAAATCACAATTAGTCCTAGTGATACAAATATGTAGCACTTGATTACAAAGCCGTGCCGGTAGTCGAAATTTTTTGCCTGTGGTCATTGTGAACATTGTGAAATGTATTTTCCCATCTTCAGCAAACTTTCAGCTTCGCTCCTTTGGTGTTCATGTTAACTCAAGGATAATGTAAGATACAGTTCCGAAGGGCTGACGTGATATACCCTGAGCGTACTGATAGAGATGATCTCTTTGTTTAGGCATATCAAATACCGCAAGCGTATATCTGATTCATTGAGCGTTGGGTAAGGATGGCACACTCAGTGACAAGGGAAACCAGGTAGCAGGGAAAGCCTGTATTTGGCAATGAGGTATGAGTTCTAGAATATTTTCCAACACAAACATCCATAAGGCAATCAGAAGGGAAATTCACCTTCCGGTTTCTCCAATGCCCCACCATCAACCTGCTTCTTATGTTCTTCATCTAGATATGGAAGGAGCAATCCTTCCCAATGTTCTCTTCCCTTGTAGTAGCTGACAGTTTCATCCCAACTCCTGATCGCCTCTGCCAGCCGTCCTGGAACATGCGGCTCTTTCGCGATAGTAGTAACCGGCTCGAAGTATGTTCGGATGGTAAAGAGTAGGGCTTTAGACTTCGGAAGACGTCGAAGCGATTGCCTTTCCGAGCGGAAGTGGATATCTTCAACACGAAGACCTTCGGAATTGGCGGTAGCCCACGAGGCAACTGTATTGGAGTTTTGGTCGCCCATACGGTGGGACCACGCCAGACCGTCATCGAGCTGGATGAAGAACTACAGTTGGTCAGCACAGGAAGCTTGTAAAGCGGAGCGGGTATCTTTGTTACGTTGTTCCGAATGACAGGTTTTTCACACGGCATATTGGCAAAGAACCGGTTCATCGCCTTTTGTAATTTTTCTTGATAATGAGGTACCCCAGCTTCGATGTGAAGCTCGTCGAGCGACATGCGGTACTTCTCAGTCAAACGCCAGAAGCCAGGTAAGCAGACCGCTCCGGCATCTATGTGGTAGTGACCATCGTCGTTAAGTACCATAACTACAAGATCGTCCTGCACAAGCTTTGCTGCTGTGACCATAGCCTCCCTTGGTGTTGATGCCGGATATTGAAACTCCTCAGCGGTAATCGTGTTACGGAGGATGTTGCCGTGCAATTGAAAGACTTCCGGGTAGCGATGTGTGAGATACTGTGTCAACTCTTCCAGAACCTCAAAGCAGGCTAGTCGTGTGACTTCGTTATCGACATATTGCACACGAGATGCAACATCCTTCTCAAGCTCGCGTACCTTGGCGTCATGATAAGGGATGAAATTTGAATCCATCTCAATCCATTCGTTCCAATGCATCTTTCGAATGCCCATAGTAACGAAGTTTGGACCATGGCGGAACGGCCGGTATAGTTTGGGATCTGTAAGCTCCAACTTGTAGCCTTCCGCTGGTCTAGGCAATGGTGTTTTGAACGGTATGGATGATACTTGAGAGGGTCAGTGTCGTCCACTTGAGCAAAATGATTAGATGGCCGTACCTTTTTGTTTCTCATCGTGAACTTGAGGGAGGATGCTGCGCTTATTACTTTGACTCCGCCATAGTAGCGAAAGTACAAGCAGAATCACACAAGTCGCGAAGCCTAGAGGCGTAAACACAATCTCAGATGGAACCATATCCGCACTGTGGTAGTGGTATTTTTACACACTGACTTCGGCAGTGTTGTAAGCAGAAGACAAGACACGTTAAATGCTAGAGTATTGGGAATAGAAATTGACAACGGCGAATGACACCACTGGTGGCTATCTACATCTCTAGCGCAAGGTCGCCTGCATAGGTTTGCAAGAAATGTGGGTCGAGAGAGCTGGACGCTGTACTTGCCAGACCTGGCATAGCCTGAGCTGTGAGATACCGATACGCTAAACCCCGGATCCACACCTCGTGGCAAAGATGATGCCTGCGAACCTGCCATTTCGGGAAATTTCATTGGCCCCGTGAGATTGTTCGTATCTGCGATGAGAACCTGTCTGCTTGCATCGGAAACACTGAGGATAGCGGCCCAATGACAGCGAACTCGCCTATACCAAAGTGAGGCAAATTCCGGGCAATTTCGAATCGCTGGACTTTTGTATGAACAACTTGGTCTTAGTTCAGGACTCGTCCTCATTATGAAGTAGCCCTTGTATGCGTGCCACTTGAATGTGTAGCGAAGTGGATCAGAGCTGTTTTGCGTTGACTCGATACTTGACCCATACAGCAGAAACATGACCCATGCGTTGCGAGGGCATATAAGAAGCCGCCAACTGCGTAGATGTGTTAAAAGCAACTTCAGACAAACGTATACCACGCTTGACAAACTTTACGACATATTTGGTCAATTCCGTACGATCTAATCGTATCTTCTACATCAAGATCTCCAGTATGCCTGCAACATTCGGAAACTATGCGGGTACAGAATCGAAGTCGAAGGCTTTCCATTATTCCCAAGCTGTCAGAGTAGGGAATATTGTACGGATATCAGGTCAGGGTGGCTGGGATGCGGAAGGAAACGTAGCCCCGGATGCTCCAAAGCAGGTCGAACTAGCGCTGGAGAATATTGAGAAAGCTCTTCAGTCGGTCGAAAAGAGTCTGTCTTGGAGAAACGTCTACGCTATTCGATCGTACCACACAAACATCGATGAGTCTGCTGACATGTGCATCGAAGGCTGGCGGCGGGTTATGCCTGATCACCGGCCAGTGTGGACATGTGTCGAGATTACAAAACTTGGTATTGAAGGCATGCAAATCGAAATTGAGGTGGAGGCCCTAGTTGAGTAGGAGTACGGGACCGACGGTTGAAGAAGATGGGTTACAGTGACCAAGAAGTCCATTGTATCGTGGGTGGTCGCCCCCTGGACGTCCTTTCGTTGACGCGCAATGCGCATGCATTTGGGATGAGCGATCGTAATCTTCTACGACAGCAAATAACAGGGGAGTTCTGTTCAAATGACTAGTGTACACATAGCACTGTTTTTGAAACTTCCGCTCCACGTGGTAGGACTGCGAGAGGGCTCCCACAGTACCAGTAAAGTTTCTCGGACAGATAAGACAGACTCGAATCGCAGGTTTTTGTGTATAGTTTCAAGCGTGCTCATGACACAGTTCCGGTGTGCTTCCAAAAGTGAATGTGCGCCAGCTACATACAGTGGGAAAAGGGTACAGTTCTGCGCTCTAGATCTTGTATCCATGCCTTGTATGCACTCTAAGCACGCATGGACATGTTGCTGGAGGAGAAAATGGTTGGCTGGGATGTTTTGTATAGCGCTGTAAAGGTATATTAGACCAGCGTGCTGAAAACACCGGACAAGGGATAGCGATGCTGTTGCGACCGGGTGGAAAAGGTCTTGTTCCGCATCTCCATTAGGAGATGCCAGCATAGAGTATGTAGGTTGAAGCGCACGCTCAAACGCTTGCACCTTGTCAACACAAATCTCTATACCATTTTGAAGCCTGTGGTGGTAGATACTCATCTCAGACAAAGTTGACAGGACGGATCCAAGCGACTTAGTACCAGGAATAGATTCCCACCACACCGATCCAGGCTCCATGTGCTCCCAAATGGTGGGTGGGAACGAGGGTTCTCTATCTTGAAGGAGGGCATCGGTCAGATCAGTAGACGCTAGTTCCGAGAGCAACATTCTGGTGATTCTGTCTGATGACGACCACGCTGATTGAAAACCACCCATGGCGTTTATAATTGCAATCGCTCCGGCGAGGTGGCAGCGGGTCGAAGCATCATCCGACATGCAGTTGACGTAGCCTTCGAGGAAGTACAACAGCAGCACTGCGACTAGGAGTGCAGAGAGCGAGGCGTTCTCGCAATGCTCGCTACTAAGCTGACCGCGGATGGTTGACAAGCAATGAAGGCGTCTCCTATCCAGGGTCTGTTTTGAAGATCCTCGCTCTTGTAGGGCCCGGTGTTCCTCGGCAAATACACATAAGGCCTGGAGAACCGGTTGCGAGCGCATGGCAAGCGCGACTGGCGGAGGGACTGGCTTGTGGAGAGTTGAGAATAGTGGCCATAACCGTGCCTTGAAATATTCTACAGCTCTTCGCTCATTGACTGCCAGGTGGGTGTTGTTGAGGGTACGCTCTACGGACAGCTGTGGTGGACATTCGGGCACGGTTTTCGCAGGCCGCTTCTTCCATCTAAGTAGCAATTTGTCGTAGCTGCAATCTTCTGTCTTGGAGATAAAACATCGGCGGCACATAGGTTTTTGAAGATCGCATTTGACTCGTCTTTGCTTGCAAGGCCAGCACGATCCTTCAACCGTACGTCGACGCTTTGGCGGACTGTTGCCAGAGGATTCCGGGCGCGACATCTGTGTGCATGACGTGATAGTGGTCGCGGATTCAAAATTAGAGTGGCGAGATCGCAGAAGGAAAGTGACAGTAGGCGTCAAAGAGCGTTCTTTGGACTCTGAGATGGGAAGCACAAGAATGCCCACGGTGTTGATACATGAAGATCAGAAAGGGCGAGACGCCTCCAGGCCTCCGCTCATCGGCACCTCCGTATGCCGTCTGCCAAGACTGTTATTCCCGCTAAAGCCGCCACCTTAGGGCGCGCTGCAGTTGCTGCTTCGTCTCCGACTCCAACAATGCGATGCTCCTGAAATGTCGTTCGGTATGGTTCCCGCTGGATCTCATGGCGGTATGGCATTGTTGAGTTCAGGGCTGGGATCAAGACGAAACAAATAAGTAAGCAGCTTGTCGGAACTCATGCTTTTGCGTGCCGAGAAAGGCAACGCAAACGATACCTAGGTATGCAAAGTTCAACAAACTCGCTCTCCTTATCTGGAGACTTCTACTGTTACAATTCTTTCCAGGGCGGTCTGATCTAGTTGTGGCTTTTGCGATCGATACCAGCATTTCGCCTAACGCTCGACCGTCGGATCAGCCCTGCATTTTGGTTCCGAGCCGTAGTGCCAGGCTGCGCCTACAAACTGTTAGCATATTTACTTGTTACCGTCCAGCCTGTTAGTACCTGTAGTGGTACCTGCAGAAAATCGCAGTCAGCACAAGTACCGAAAAGACCCTCGCTTTTGTCAGTTTCTACATGCGCGTCGAGGCGTGTTCCAGTCTACACTATTCTCAACATCAGCGTCGGGAATGGTGTTGAAAAGGTGAGCTGACGCTAAGGCTTGGGTACCAAGATCAGTCGCAGAACAAGCCACCTTGCTGAATCAGTAGAGTTTGCAAGGCAGTAAGTTGTCTGACCTGCTGTGCCGATGCTGTTGCACACAGTTGGAAGTCTCGTGACGGCTCCGGCTCTCCACAGCATCGGCTGCTCGACTAAGCTAGTGTGGTCGATCTCCCTGTTCAGCCTCTCCACGTATGGTCAAGTGATTGAAGACTCAGCGCTATCTTTTCTATCGTTATCATCACTCGATCCTTGGGTACGAACGTCGACATTCCCATGTCGCTTGCTTAAGGCGATGTCACAAGACAACTCGATACTACTTTCCCCCCCCCCCCCCCCCTCACCACGCTCTCCCCTCCCTCACTCTTCTCCCCCTCCGCCGCTGCCACCTCCCTCCCTCTTCCCACTCTCTGCGACCCCC